TAATTCAAACTTTAAGTCTTTATAACATAAAAGTGTGTTCTCTAATCTTTTCTAGTTAATTCATAATTTATTGATGAATAAAAATTTTGGTCCCTTTATTTATTTATTCTTGCTTTTTAGTTTCAGCCAAATGTATAACATAATAGGCTGATGCATTTATTAATTGTGTCACTAATTTGTTGTATTGGTGGACATATCTCCGATGGACTCCTACTTACACATGTTACAACAACTATATAGTTAAACTCACAAAATACATAAGGTATTTCTTCCGGGAGGACAAGTACTGACCTAAGGTACGATCCAGTCCAAGGTAAGTGATCAAACATCATTTTGTTCTAGATATCTAGATAAACGTAAGACATTGAAAGTCGTTAGTCGGATATTCAAAATTATGTTTTTCGGTACAGATTCATGGTGACCCAAAAAGACAAACTGCATAATTGATCAACACCAATTCCTATGTGACCATATCCTTGAGTACGCATTTCATTCAATATACATCTTCCACATATGACCGCATTATATCCAAAAATTACTTTTAATGTTTGTTCCTTTAACATGGTTGTTGATAAATGGAATCACGGTTCATACAATTTTTGTATCGCGGTTCTTACCATTTTTTGTATGGGATAAAATACCTTAATATCCACCAAGATACACGGCTCTAAAGGTGTAGCTATAAATAAGGTAGTTACGGAAGCGTAAACGTGTGTGGTCTGGCCTGTTCTTCATCCCCTCGTCACCATCAGCCAGCTGATCTGAATTTGAAGCAGCGATCAAATGTTCAACTTTACAACGACAAGGTTTTAATGTAACTCAAGTACTCCACATGATCCACCGACATCATAACCACAATCATCCGCTCATGATTTCATTGTTTCTTTACGTTTTCTTTCATCAAAGAGTACCGATTGTCTGATCATTTCGTTCTCTGGATTTTTTATCACTCATCAACATATGTATGTAAATATATGATCTGATACGTGCTTTGATGAAGCTATATACTCGACTGCAATTTAATCCGATTATAATTTATTTTTTCTTTGTCTATCAGAATTTCGTCAAGTTCGTAAGGAGAAGAGATGACGGAAGAGTATTCATACGACGACGCCATTGAAGGACTGAAGCAGCTTCTCAGGTACGTGTTTTTTCCATTAATTTTGTTCAAATTATATATAAGATAGTCCTCCATGACTACGATTGTTTGATTCGTTACCTCGTTAAATGATCGGATTAGATAATCCTTTTTTTCTCATATTCTTATGAAATTAAATCCTTAATCAGTCTCATTATCTTTTTCATTTGACCTAATTACACCCGATATTTTTTGCGACACCATATATATGCATTTGTCTGTGTGTGTGTGGGGCCCTGCAATTGCTGCTGTCAGCCATTATCTTACTGACAAATTCAGATGTCTGTTTTTTACGTACTGTCAGCATTTACGATCGTATTATCGGTGGTGTTGCAGTGAGAAAAGCGAGCTTGAAACCATCGCCGCCGCGAAAATCAAGCAACTAACGGCTGATCTGGAGGCGGCCTCTACCAAAGCCGTTAACCCGGTAGAGAGGATAAAGACCGGATTTGCTCATTTTAAGACAGAAAAATATGAGTGCGTTTTGTACCTTAGTCCTTATATCATTTTAAGACACAGAAATATTAAATTCTGAACTATTTTTTTTGTCGACTAGGGGATAACTGTACGGCTTTAAATGAACTGTTTTATTCGACCTTAAATTAGTTTGTTAATTTGTGTTTGTCTTGAAGAAATAATAATAGTTATCAGTTCATGCCTATTTCCGCAGAAAGAACCCAGATTTATATGAAGAGCTATGCAAAGGACAAAGTCCCAAGGTCATCTCTCTTACACTTATACTAAAGTATCTGGTAATAATGATACTAGCTGGTTAAACATAGAGTCTTTGGACCACATAATGGAAAATTTCTAATAGTTATGTTGGGGTTAATTTAATTTAATTTAATTTGAAATGCAGTTCATGGTATTTGCGTGCTCAGATTCTCGGGTTTGTCCATCACACATCTTAGATTTCCAACCAGGTGAAGCGTTTATGGTTCGAAACATTGCAAACATGGTCCCTCAATATGACAAGGTCATCATCTTTAATTTTACCTAATTCAATTATTTAATTTGCATCTTTCATTTCATTAATCATAACAAACATGTCATCTACCTAGCACATGGTCCTTTAATTTTGTCCGCAAATCATTGTTAACTAACACACAAACCACTAGAAATTAAAACACACAACCCATTAGAAATTCGAAGACAACAAGCTTAAAGTGGACGCCGGAGCACTGCCTTACAATTTGCCAAAACTTAACATGCCGGAAAGGTTTGTTGGTTTCTACACGGAAAGCCTCGAAGTAAAGATCAAGTATTTTCATTTTCACCTTGCTCGGGCTTACTTCATCACCCTATGAAACTAATTGTTAAAATGAATTGAAATTGCGCTTGTAAGTCTCTATTTGGAGAAGACTTGATCTTTACTTCGAGGTAGAGGGGCTTCACAATTGAATCTTTCAACGACTCTACTCCAGAAAGTAGTTGTAGTGACGTTAATGTTGATTGGGTCTTCTATTACATCAACCCATGAACGGGTCAATGATCTTTTAATTAATTGACCAAACACGAGCCATTTTTAGTGAGAAGTTTTACAGAAGATGAAAAATAAAAAGGTTAGGAGAGTAGAATGAAAAAGATTTGAATGTCGTGAAGAATAAAGATTGATTTTATTTACAGTGAAAGATAGAGTCTTCAAATTTTGAAATTTTGAAGAAAAAACGGTTATATTTTAAAAAGGGAGTTTTTTTTTTTCTGAAAATGGATTATTTTTTGAAAATGAGAAAATGGAATAAAATGGTAAAAAAAAATTACATTAATTTCTTTTCTCTCATCGGTAGCTCCTTGCCGAAGTCGTGGGGCGGTGTTTGCTGAAGTGTGCCGATCCCCACTCCTTCGAGCCTTAAGATTGATATTTTTTTCAATGCTTGTGACTTTATGAGAGTGGATATATATAGTTTAGTTTAGATGAATCAATAATTGTTTTTGTTGTGCAGATAAAGTACTCTGGAGTGGGGGCAGCTCTTGAATATGCGGTAGTGCATCTTAAGGTGATATTAGACAGCATTTTTTTAGCTTCATATTTAAATTAAGGAAGTTGTGCTTAATTTTGGTTTAATAAAAATTTGGTCTTCAGGTGGAAAATATTCTAGTAATGGGGCACAGCTGCTGTGGTGGGATTAAAGGACTCATGTCTATCCCGGACGACGGGACAACACATTCGTAAGTAGTAATACTACCTACCTCTCACAATGAAACTTTTTACAATTTTCTGAAAAATTAATGCAAGATAATAATCAAGATAATCACATCTTTCTTCTTTATATGCATAACAATATTCAAGAATCGAATTCATTGTTGTCTTTTCATCTTTGCCTAATCGATATAGTACGATCACATGTCCTCATAACAAATTGATATTATAGCTTCATGGAAGATTGATAAAATGTTCCCGTGCAATACATTTTGTGGTTAGATTTTGCTCGAGCAAAAGACAACTATTTTGTTCTTTGATGATGTTTCGATTTACTGTTGATTGAAAGTGTTGTAAGGTTTGATTAGGTGACGATTCAATTGGCATCTTTCACTAGGGGTGATAATTAGCCAATACAAATGAATTAGAGAATTCAAAATTCAGGATCAACGGTTATTCTCGTTGACGATGAAGGAAAGTTATGCTCTTATCTTCTTATATAATCATCTTGATGAATTAAACTCCACCTTGATAGATTTTAAAAACGTTGAGGTGAAGAAGTTCCATCAAGCTCTTGCACTCCATGCAGCATTGTGCAATGTTCTGAAAACTCTACCGATGGGATTGAATGTAACAAGTCGGAATAAGGATAGATCCAAAAAATGTAAAATAAAAAAAATAAAAAAAGGAAGGTCAAGGTCGTGGGATGATATTGGACATTGAGAAAACGAGTGTCCACCAAATTAAGAATAAAGGAAATGCAAACACTGCAAAAGAATATATGAACTCTGAAAAGGAGTTAGTCCCTAGGTGTAGCTTTGGGAGATCCAAGGCATGGATCTTAGATCCGAGGTGTTCATTCTACATGTGCCCCAACAAAGATTGTTTTATGGCGTATCAAGAAGTGAGTGTTGGAAATGTATTGATGTGGAACGATTCTAGCAGGATTGCCAACAACTTGATTAATAAACATCCAAATGAATTATGGAGTAGCAAGGATGCTAGACACAGTGGCGAATCTAGAACAAAATATAACGTGGTTCCCAAATTAAGTGAAGCCGATAAAAAAATCCAACAACACTTGTGAGAGGTCGGGTCGGGTCGTGTACGATTTAATGAAATATAACTGAAAAAACCGATCAGCCACCACCAATTAAAATTTTTAAAAAAACCGACTGAAATATAATTGAAAAAACCGAACGATTTAATGAAAAATTAGTTGATTATTAGTGCATTGATACCTTATTGTTTGATAAAAACTATATATTATATTTAACCCTATATATTTAACAGCACAAATGCCCCATATAACTTATTTTTTGCCCATTTTAAAATGGTTTTTAAGACATTTTTTAGAAAAACAAACTCAAGGTAGGTCCTCTATTTTTTCTAAGGTGGTTCCTAATTTTTGTGGTATATATATTATAAATGAAATTCAAATTTTAGGTAGGTCCTAGGACCTACCTTCTTATATGGTAGATACGCCCCTGGCTGGCTGGCTAGACATGTCTCAGAGCTTAGGAAACCTTGGCATGCTCCTACATGTTGGAGTCGAAAGGGTTCAAGTATACTTGTTTGGGTGATGTGCTTAGAATTTCTAAATGCGCTTAAGTGGCTATGAAAGGGGAAAAATAAGGCTACATTATATGTTCTTGATGGAGAAACCTTATTGGGATGGGGAGAGATCCCTCAGTCCAAAGAGGCTAATTAGAATTTCGAAAATAACACGTTTATTGCATGTGAGGGTAGAGCAGTCTGGTAGCTTATAAGGGTCAGGCTCAATACCTTGAGGTCACAGGTTCAAAACACAAAAACTCGTGTCTGCAATACTATTTATATGTTTGTTAGGTTTTGAACGACAAACACACACAACACTTATGTAGTTCACATGATTAAGGTAATCTTGATATGTCCACAAGCAAACTAAAGATATTATTGATTTTGAATGTTTACAACTGCATCATTTTATATATAGATTCATCACTATCACACTCCACAACCCAACAATGTTTAATCAAATTAGCCCAACTGCAAATTTCGACATTGGTTATATTTCCTTTACATTGATAGTTGGAAATTTGTGGGATTCCCTTGACATCCTTAATTGGAAATACGAGAAAACTTGGTTTTGATTCGAGGTTTGTCTGATTTGATACAAAGTTAAAAATACCATATATGACATATATGTAGATAAGGGGAGCCTCTCTTAGCATAAATAATCTTTCGTGAATAAACAAGATAATAACCTCTTTCTTCTTCATTGTCTTTGTACGCTTAATTCATAACAACATTCAAGAACAAAAAATTCACAACATTCCAAGAACCAGAATCTTTGTGGTGTTTTTATCATTTGCTAGATAATTTCTACTCCTACAAACTAGTAAGATCAAATTTATGAATAACATCCGTTTTTGTGTATTTGTATATGGACAGTGACTTCATAGAGGACTGGGTAAAGATATGTGACATTGCGAAAACCAAGGTGAAAGCAGAGTTCGGGGATTTGGATATTGCAGAACTATGCACCCACTGTGAGAAGGAGGCTGTGAATGTTTCCCTAGGGAACTTACTGACTTACCCTTTCATTAAAGCAGCAGTGTTGAATAGATCACTTTCGCTACAGGGAGGATACTACAACTTCCTCAAGGGTAGTTTCGACTTTTGGTGTCTTGGTCATGCTATTTCACCCTCTCTTTCTCTATGAGTGTTTTCTTTTTCTTATATCCAATGTTTCCAATAATATGTATATTTAAACTAGAAAAGATAAGGTGAAATAAATCCATGACATGACATGACCTACCCCTAAACTAAACTACTAATGTAAGGGTCTTCATGAATTTATATATATTAGACACAAATCACATGTGACAATTGATATGTTTGATGTTTGTTTGTTTACATTTATTTTGCCATTTTTTCCAATATATAATCTTCTGAAACAGGATATACAACAACCTTTCCAGTAGCTCGACCAGTTTCAAGGTATGCAAAAGCTTCTTTGACCCGGTCAAACGGAAATGGACCATTTGGGTCAAGCACAGCCTTCACCTTCCCATCCTCCAAATACGGATTCAATTTAGTCAAAGTGGAACCAGTTGACGTCACCACAAATCTAAACCCTGGTTCTGCCACTGCACCGGTTAACACCACCACACTGCCGCCTTCCACCACCACTTTCACCGCTTTCTCCCCTTGTCCTACACCCAAAAAACAAAGTTTCATCTCCATAATCCATCACATTCACAATTACAATCACAATAATTATCTGACTCTTACCAATTGCATCAAATACAACATCGTATTTATCTGGCAAGTCTTCGAAGTTCTCTTTCGTGTAATCAATTGCTAAATCAGCACCTAAGCTTTTCAGCAGCTCGAGTTTTGATGTACTAGCTGTTGCAGCTACTTTTGAAGCACCAAATACTTGCTTCGCAAGCTGCATCATGATCATCAACATCAAAGCTTATCAATCCATACACAATAAAAAATTTACTCATAAGTTTGGAATAACGAAGTGAAGTTTTATGAAAATTAAGAAGATACCTGAATCACAAGCGATCCAACTCCACCAGCACCATTCAAGACAAGGATTGATTTACCTTTTGAGAAACCGGCTCTCTCTAGACCTTCATATGCGGTTTCAATTGCAAGAGGAAGACTCGCAGCCTGTGCAAAATCTAAGCTTTTTGGCTTCAAAGCGAGAAGTTTCTCCTCAACGGCTGTGTACTCGGCTAAAGAGCCTGACTGTTTAGGTCCATCGAGTGCCTTCTCGCTTATATCTCCGTATACTTCATCTCCTACTTTCAAGCTTTTTACTTGGCTTCCCACCTTAACCACCACTCCGGCGACATCGTATCCTGGAACAGTCTGTTATCGGGAACAAAATCAGATTCAGAGTAAATGTGGTAGAAAACGAAAAGCAAACGACCATCAATCACGCACAATTTCGAGAAATTATATAGTTTAATGCAGATTATCTGCAAGGTATTTAACTTTAAAACAAAATGCAATCGAAACAAATCAAAACAACCGATGAAATTACCGGTAGGGCGGAATCTGTGGCCTGAAATTTACCAAGCCGTCTCTTGAAATCAACAGGATTAAGTGCCGCAGCCACAACCTTTACCAAAACCTGGTCGTCGTTAACTTCTGGCACCGTAACATTCGAAGAGAACTTCAGTACATCAACACCACCATATTCATCGTACACCCAGGCTTTCATCTCAGAAGGAACTGTTGTAGAACCGACAGCGGTTTCAGTTGCAGATCTCGAAGAAGAACTCGCGCAGACTCGGAAACAAGGGTGCGATTTAGATTGTGAGTTTTTGCGAGAAAAAGGAAAATTTCTTGAGGTTTTGATGGCGGGGTGAGTGAATGTAGAGTGAGGAAGCGAGGGTTTGGACGAGAAGGAGCCAGAAAGCGGTGGCCGGAGTCGTAGAGTTGCGGAGGAGCTCAGCAGAGCTTCCATTATCGTCACTCTTGTTCTTGCTACCAACAAATGAATGGAATCATGATAGATTTTGTTACCCTTCCCTGTTTTATATGGTGTGTATTTAATTATTTATTTTTAATTTGTTTGTACTATTCTAGGTACTAGAAAAATCGATTTGTTGTCGATTTTATCGAAATTAAATTAGGTCTTTATGGTTTGACTGGTTGACACAAATATAAAGATTTAGTTCTACTTTTGAAGTTTGGTATTAGTTCTCCTTATGGTTGGCAAAACATGTAGATTTAGTTCTTCGAGAGGTCGTTGTCTCAGCGTTTTCTCCACAGTCCACAATACGACACACTGTGAGGCAACGACCTTCGTTTGCGGTGCTTTCGATTGAGCCGCATCTATAAGCTCCTCTTTTATCGAAAGCACCGCAAACGGAGGTCGTTGTCTTACAGTGTTATTCTATTTTACTAATTTTGTTAAACTAGTAGTAAATTATATTACATAGTTTACATCTAAATGAAAAAAAATAAAAAATTAAATAAACAATGATTATTGGTTTCGGCCCCGTCGAATAGAGTGTCCGTGTTCTGTCCGTGGTTACCACATTAAAAAAGTGTCATTTCACATGTCATGTCACTTCAGGGTGTCATAACACTAAATAAGGAAAACATCCAACATGTTATAACATCCACTAATTTTCATATCATCATTTTTTATTTTATTTTTTGGTTTAATTTTTAATATTTATAAAAACAAAATTAATTTAATAAAATATGTCTTTAAATAAAACCTAATTTCTTAATTAAACATAACATTTAAAATTCTAAAAATAAAACATTACAACAAAAAAACAAATAACATTTAAAAACAAAAAAATACATTTTAACTCCTAAATTATTCATTTTCGTTATCATCGTACACATAATTAGTCAGATCTTCTCGAAGTTACATGTGTTTTTGTGCTTCTTGAATATCAATGACTCTATGTAAATATTCTGTCATCTATGGTTGAAATTGCACGTATCTGGGCTTCGTAGCCGAATACTCTGCAATATTTCGTCATTTATCTTTAATCACCATGTTATGCATTATAAGGTCGGACAAAATCATCGCGGGAAAGGGCAGCGGGACTATTCCCGCACGACGGAACACCGGACCGTCGGTGCGGGAAACGGTGGTGCGGGAACCGGAGAGGGGGAGTGCTTTCCGTGTTCTCTCTCCGTCGATTATTGGGCGAATTTTTTTTTGAAGTAGTCGTTGTTTAACGGTATTTTTTTATACAAACGGCTATATGCATTAAAAGTCAATTTTTTTTTGTTTTTTTTTTACCTTTTTAAACATCTATAAATACCCAACTATTTACCTTCAATCAACATTCAAACAACCCCTCTACTCCCTCTATTTTCTTCAAAAAAAAAATGAATCCCAACAATCAAACCCCAACTTCCGATCGAAGGAAAAAAAGTCATGGTTCGAGTTTAAGCACCCCTACTCGAAACATTTTTGCTATCGATTCATCATCACAAGGAGTTTATCGCCCCCAACTCGATGCTCCCATTCAATCTCCACTACAATTTCAATACCAAAATGTTAGACAATATTACCCGATCCAAGTTCCAAATGTTACGCTGCAAATGTTTTCAAACTTTGTTGTTTTTCCGGATCAACAATCGCCAAATCAACCTCAAATCCAAACCCAACCCCAAACCCAAATCGAAACTCAAACCCAACCCCAACAACAATTCCAACTTGGCGATGAGTTGGATGACTCGGAAGAAGAAGAGATGGTTTCTGAAACTCAACCCACACCACCCCCACAACGATACAAAGGAAAACAACAAGCGGCCAAGGGTGTCGCAAAACCGGGAAGACAAAAGCCCACAGCATGGCTTCCACACGAAGAGTTAGTTTTGGTAAAAGCTTGGGCTGAAAGTTCTAAAGATTCAATTCATGGAAACGCACAACCGGGAGACCATTTTTGGTTTCGCATTTTAGAACGGTTTCGAGAGGAGCTAGAAAAAGGTGACGACTACCGTACGAAACATCAACTCAATTCGAAGTTTCGAGAAATAACAAAGGGGTTTCAAAAATAAACGAGTTGTACAACAACCTAAAAAACCCAACGAAAAAGTGGCCAAGGCGACGAACAAATACTTCAAGAATCTTTGCAATTTTACCTTGAAGAAGTGGAAAACCATTCAAGTGGCACGATTTGGTGGAAATTATTGTTCCGATGTCATAGGTGGAAAAAATACGAGCAAGATTTTATTTTTGGAGTCCAACAATCAAAGCGAACGAAAATGGGCTCTAGTGGTTACACAACTTCCTCTGATGCTCGGGTCGGTCTAGATTTAAATCAGGAGGACGAACTTGAGCTAGAAGAAATTGTCCGACCGATGGGTAGGGACAAAACAAAAAGGAATGGAAAAGGGACTTCTTCGGGTGCATCGGATTTCAGCATGGACGTTGACGAAATGCGGAAAATAACAGCGTCGTTTGATCGATATAATCTTAATTTCTCCGAACGTTTGGCGTTCGACAAAGAAAAAGAAGAAGCAAGGAAGAATGAGCGGGCGGAGAGACAAGAAATGGAGGATATGAAGTTCTTGATGGAAAACACTGATCATCTCACGGGACCGGCTCTCGAGCTCGTGATGAAGAATAGGGAAAAAATTATGAAAAAATATTTTTCGTAAGTTGTTGTTGGTTTGTTTGTGTTTTTTTTTTTAATTTTCTACTTTTTTAAATTTTAGGTTTATTGTAATTTTTATTTTAATTAATGAACTGCATTTTCTTTTTAATTTATTTTTTTGGTTATTTTTAATTTAAAAATTATAAATCAATTAATTTTATTTAGAAAAAATAGTGATGGAAGCTTCCCACCCATTCCTTGGATTTCAGGTAAGGGAAAGGAAAGTGAGAGAAATGGTGGTGTGGCCCACAAAAAGTGAGGGAAACTCCCCTCCCATACCCTCCGGTCTAATACATGCATACATAATATCTCGTAGAACGTCTAACTGATATGGTCGTGCTGCATTTTCTATTATGTGTCATTTCAATTTTAGAACTCCAAAAACACATTCCACATCCTTATGTGCTCCTTCTTGTCTTCTCTTGAAAAAATTTGTCTCTTGGTTCTACTGGTTGTCAAAACGCCATCACGAATGTGGAATATGTTGGATATATTTCATCCGTAAGGTAATATCCAAACTTATATTCATTTCCATTCACTGTGAAAGGAGCATTCAGTGCCTTCTCTGACAAAAGATCGTCGAATATTGGTGACTGATCAAGAACGTTGACGTCGTTATTGGAAACCGCATGTGACATCCCCTAATTTCTCGGCCAGAAAAGACCGATTTAATTTATGCTTTTTAAAATAAAATCAGAGAAATCTTTTCAAAAGATGTTGCGGAATAGGTCCCCAAAATAAAACATGATAAAAGTTTATCAAAACCCTTCTTTAAGAAGGTATATATTTTCCATATATATCAAAACCTCGGGATGTCATGTTCCGATACAGATCAAAAGCATAAACAAGACATTATAAGCCTTTCAACAGTTATTTACAACTACTGGCCTATAATCCAAAAATATCTCATCGTCCTCCGACTATGCTCGGGGTCCACTACCTGTAATCATAAAAAGCTGAGTGGGTTAGGCTTGGGAGCCTGGTGAGCATATAGGGTTTTCAACCCACAATAATAATAATTTATTAAGTTCACCAATCAACAATAACCCTGATTACCCATTCCCGTTGTCCTCACTTTACGTCCCTAAACACCTAACACAAGGGACTTAACCTAAGGAATATCATCGGGTTGGACACTACTGCTAAGGGGACTCCTCAGCCATACATGTCCTAAAGGCAACCATGAGGGGGATTGGAGTACACAAATGAACATTTAGTTCATCAACACCTACAAGTTGCGAACTTGCTATTGTACCACTGGACTGTCTAGAAAGGTCCGTGATCGTCATCTATACTCCGCTAGACGACTACAACAACACCAACAACAACACCGACACTGAGGCCTCTCATCATTTTAACACCCACCGACTATTTTGTCTACCCATGTTCTACCCAACATATTTGTAGATAAAATACATATACAGTTTAAAACTTGTATAAAACATCTATTCAACAGTCACCTCAAATAAACAATTAACATATTTACACATAGCACATATTTTAAGCTAAATACTTCATATCTATGTGTAAAGTGAAAGTAACTACACACTCACATGTTTTGATGAAAATCGGGCAGCAATTCGTTTCCTAAAACGATCGTTTCTAATAAAACCGGGAGTTTTATTGAGAAACCGGGCTCTGCGAAGGTCTGGCTTTGAAACCGAAAAGATAAATTTTCCGGGCTTCACGGGTACTTCGTGGCGTATTCCGGGGGTTATAATCGATACCGGGGCTTTGGGGGATGTTAATATGAAAGAAATATGAGTTTAGGGGCTAAAATTGACAAGTTTTCAAAATATACCCGGGAGGTCTCGCACCTTCCTATTTATAGGAGCGAGCCTCCTGATCCAACGGCTGAGAAGCCTCCAGGTGGCGAAGATCCGAAGCTCGCAGGGGATGGCTCGCACGAGGGATGCATGTGCGAAGGGGCTGCTGGCCTCTTGTGATTGGACCGAAGCCTAGGTCCGAAGTAGGGGCATCTGTGGCAGCCTTGCGAGGGTTCGGACATGTGCTAAAGGGTACGCGTCGCCTTCTCAGTGGACCACTTCAGATCAAGTCAGGAGCTCGGATGACTCAGCAGCTCGGACACGTGGCTCGCATGACTCACCAATTTCGGACACGTGGCATGTTCTAAGCGAGGGTGACGTGGCAAAAACGTGACTATGCGAATTTTCTCGATTTTTGTGCAAAAACTTCTAAAATCCATAACTTTCGCATACGAGCTCCGTTTTTGATGTTCTTTATATGCACGCGTAGGTAAAATTATGCTCTACAACTTTCATTTAGGCTTCGTCGGCTAATTTTGAATTTAATTTTTATATTATTATTTTTTAACAGACCGGGACAGGAAATCCGTTAAAAATTCATAACTTCTTCATCTGACTTCCGTTTTCGTCAGACTTTTTACCGTTGTGCTACTATTTAC